TTCATCCTGTGAGCCACCTTGTCCAATCCAGCCTGCTGCCCTTGGCTGTGGACTTAGACACACTCTCGCTCCGAAACCTTTAACTGCTGCTCCTCAACCATCATCTACAGCTCCCATTCCTCTTACAGCCTGGCAGCCGCTCGTTCCACCCTGGGCTGGCCCACCTGCCTTTCCCTCCGCCATCGGGCCATGTTCCTGCTGTCCCCTCTCTCGGGCGGGCAGGCCCACTCTTGGTTCAGAGCCCTTGGGGGCTCCATATTCATCAGCATCTGTGGTGGTCGGCAGCAGTGACTGCTGGGACGTTAGCAGGCAGCAGGCAGTGTTCGGCCTCACATCTTTCAGGATGAAGCCTGCCCTAAGCCACCCAAGCTCCACCTCAGGGGAGAACCTCCATGGGCTGCGCTGGGCCCTGTCCCAGACCTGCGATGCCGTCTGAAAGGGCCTTGGGCTCCTCCATTTGTTTTCCCGGAACTCACTTTGTGCAGCCTGGCAGCCTGCAGTGAGGGTCTTTGCAAGACGCCCCCAAAGAAAGCTGAGGCTGAGACTTCCTTCAGGGGCAGAATCTGGCTTGTCCATCCTCTCCTGGCACAGCTTTGTTGGTGGCTAATGTGCGCCCTATCCTCACTCGTGCTGTTCCCAGCTCTCCTTGGCCTCCAGGAAGCTGGAGCCCTCCAGGTGGCCAGGCCCAAGCATGCACCCCGGTTTCCTGCCTCTATCCATTCCCCTCATTCCCTCATGACCTTAAGTTACTCGTTAGCGGTTTGTTTGTCTGCCTACCCTTATTAGGAGATGATGGAATACAAGGTAAATGTACTGACCAGTGTGACTGGGTCCCCAGCCTTGTCCACCATCTTTGGCCTTTTAAACCCCCCATCCTTTTTAAAAAAATATATATTTTATTGATTTTTTACAGAGAGGAAGGGAGAGGGATAGAGAGCTAGAAATATCGGTGAGAGAGAGACATCAACCAGCTACCTCCTGCATACACACACACACACACACACACACACACATACACATACACACACACACACTGGGGGTGTGCCCGCTGCCAATGTACATGCCCTTGACCAGAATCTAACCTGGGACCTTTCAGTCCATAGACTGACGCTCTATCCACTGAGCCAAACCGGTTTTGGCTAAACCCCCCATCCTTGAAGCCACCAGTTTGGGGAGGCCCCACGCCCTCTCCCCGGACTGCCTGGCCACTCATTGTCTCCATGGCTCGGATCACAGCCCCTGAAACATGCTTATTTTTCAGGATCCATCCTCTGGACACGAGCGCATGGTGTGCCCCGCGGTGTGCAAAGGTGACGGGTGGTTTAGGGTGGATGTCACCTGCTCGGGTCCCAGCCAGACCCGGGGCTTTGGGACACTTGTCTGGTCAGCTGTGATGCTCCTTGGCCAGTGGATTTCCCCGGCCCCTGAGCTTAGGGGCCCTCGGCCAGCTGGGGAAGGGCCCGGTGTCTGACAGCGCCATGTGCCGCTGAAGCACATGAGCGTGGGGTGCTCAGTGAACACTGAGTTGTCGCTCAGAACCCCCAGGGCTGGGGGCGCAGGTCAGAGTGGGGAGGGTCTCCTTTAAGGGTGACAACTGTTCTACAGGTAGAGGTGGTGGCTGCACGGCACTGTGGGTGTGCTAGCTGCCATGAACCGAACTCTCTTAAATGGTTTACTGTATGTCATGTGGGTTATACTTCAATATTTTTTTTTTTTAGAAAAGGAAAAAGAAAACCTTAAACACACACACACAAACTAGTTGGGCGTGGCGTGTCCAGAGCAGGCCCATTTACTGAGACAAAATGGCCTGGAGCTGGTGGGCAGGTGTTGGGGAAATGGGAAGAGTGTTACCGATGGCAAAGGGGACAGGGTTCTTTTGGAGCAAAAATGTTCTAAAGTTGGTTGTGGTGATGGTTGCAGGACTCTGAATGCACTGAAAACTGCTGGATTTTAAATGGAAGATTGTGAAGTATGTGAGTTCTATCTTGATAAAAGTTATTACTTAAAACAGAGAAAACCCCACCTGTGGCATGTCCTAGAGCAGTGGTCAGCAAACTCATTAGTCAACAGAGCCAAATATCAACAGTACAACGATTGAAATTTCTTTGGAGAGCCAAATTTTTTCAACTTAAACTTCTGATGCCACTTCTTCAAAATAGACTCGCCTAGGCCATGGATTTTGTGGCAGAGCCACACTCTAGGGGCCAAAGAGCCGCATGTGGCTCGAGAGCCACAGTTTACCGACCATGGTCCTAGAGAGAAGCCACACCACACACCATGCCAGCAGCCATGAGCTCAGAGACCGCCGGGGGGGGGGGGGGGGAGGTGGGGGGTAGAGAGGAGTAAAAGGAGGGGGCTTGCAGGGGGCTGTGCCACGGCTCCTGGGCGCCTGGTGGGATCAAACCACGTGCTGCCCTGCTTTTCTCCCTCAGGACCAGCCGCGTTCAGACGGCCAGTGTCAGCTCAGGGGCGGCACAGAGCCTCCGGAATCTGATGGAAGGTGTCACCCTCTGTTTTGGGAGTAAGGGGGGGGGGGGGTGTATGTAGAGTATTTTGAGTGTAATTTCAGGAGACACATGTGCCTCCCAAAGGCCCCCAGTTCAGAGCCCCTCCAGGGGTCACTGGGGCCTCGGTCAGCCTCCAGGTCTCCGGGCTGGGATGTCGTGCTGCTCAAGCTGCCCGCTCGCTGGGTCTCAGCCCAGGACAGATGCAGGACAAGCTGGCTCCGCAGGCTCCACTCACCCTGTCACCCGTCCTTCCCCTCAGCACTTACACTCCCACCTGCGTGGCCCAGGAGGCTCAGCCCGGCCTCACTGGGTCTGACTTCCACCTTGTTTCCCGCGTGGCGACGCTGACAGCTCTTGAGATACACGCGACCTCTCGCAGCCCATGTTTTTTCATAAACTCGTCGTGGCTGTGACCTTAGGGAGCGGGGCTGGGGCTCGCTGGCCTCGGGTGGGCGTGGCCCTCAGAGGCCTGTGGGTGGGGAGGGGCCAGAGGCTGCATAATAATTTACCCAGTTGATTTGTTATTGATGCAAATTCAGTGTTAATAATTGGTGCTTTGTTGATGGCTTTGTCCTGCCCTTCTTCTGTTGTAACTACAACCACAGGGTTCCCCAGGAATCTTCTAGAAGGTGGTGCTTCTCAGCTGGTGCTCCCAAGGAACATGGGGTTGCAGCTGACTGCCATCTTTCCCAGCTTCTAGGAGCAAGAACTCTGACAGACACTCCTCGGAGCTACATTTTGCAGGGGGTTCTCTTCAATTTGGGGCCTGTGGACAGGCGGTGCAGTGGGTGGCGGGCAGCAGGACCCTGGAGACCAGAGACGGCTGGGCGGGCAGCCCTGGCAGCTCGCCTCGTTCCCTGCACACACGGCCGTGCTGTGATTTGTGTGTGTCTGTATGTCCTACATTTGTTTCCTACAGCAAAGTTGTTCCTAGTTATTGGTGGGATTTTGAAACAGGAAAGCCTGGTCACTCACGAGGAGCAAGGGGTCCCCGGGGTGAGCCTGTGGACAAGGAACTTGGGTGTCGGAGGGTCAGGCTGCTCAGAGGAGCCTTGAAAGGCGACGGCTGAGGGGCAGGCTACGCCTTGTCTTGGACTAGTTGTGGTGCCTCGATTTCCCTGGTACTGGGAAGCAGTGCCCTCTGGACCCCAGGCAAGTGAGAGGCAGGGACTCCTGGCATTGCCCTGTCTCGGGCACCCAGTCCAGCCTCGTTTTGTGAAGGGAGGCTCCTGTGGACCTCCGCTGGGGAGCAGAGTCCTGGGGCCCCTGGGCTAGAGACGGGGTAGCAGCATCCAGCCAGTCTGCTGGCCGCCCTCAGCGCACCCACGCTGGCGAAGGCAGCACTGGGTCTGCCACTTGGTGCAATGTGTATTGACGTGAGAGCAAACCCATTCTGATCACGTCCCCCACACCCAGCCAGTGCTTGGGGCCTTCATGTGCCCCCCCATACATTCACGAGGTCAGTGGTGTCCCTGACTCTTAGTGACCAAGTGAGAAACTGAGGCACGACATGCGACTTCCACTGAGCCTCTTGGCTCCTACGTGGAGTGCCATGCCTGTGCTCCGAGGGGCGCCGTCACCCACAGTCAGGTGCCAGGGAGTCACCTGGACTCTGGGCAGAGCCCGTGGGAGACAGACTTGCTTTCTCCCAGCACCTGGAGACCACACTTCACACCCACTCTCTAAGCCTGCCCCCTCCGCACACCTGGGCCAGTGAGAGCGGCTGCTGAAGGTGCCGGGTGATGGCTGAGTGGACGCCCCGGCCCCGTGGGGTGGGGCAGGGTTGAGTGGAAGGAGGGCCTGGCGGTGAGTGTGCGGGGGACCAGCGCGGCCTCCCGGGACGCCTTCCCCAGCGCTCAGCGCACCTGGGCCTCCTCCTCGGGGGGAGCCGGGGGCGGCGGTGCCATCTGCTGGGATGGGCGATGGGCAGCCTGGGCACAGGATAGTGGGCATCTGGCCGTGTCTGGAGAACCCTTCTGTGGCGATACGGCTCCTCCCTGGGCCTGGAGCCAAGCCTGGGCTGGGGGAGCATTTCGTTCTTTATGCCCTTGACCCGCTGAGTGCTGATGGGTCCACGGCCACGCCTACCTGTTCCTGCTCAGAAGCCTGGCTGCCCACTCGCCCCTTGGGGGCGGCGGGTGCAACTGCCCCCCACACTGCTCACTTGTCAGGTCAACATTGATGAAGCACCTGCTCGCTGCTGGAGCCTGAGATGAGTCAGCCGGTCTCGGCTTCGGTGTGTGGGGCGACCAGGGAGGAGGGCACTCCTGCTGCAGGGCCTGAGCTCGCGGGGACCCAGGCCCGCACAGGGGGGTGTGCCCTGTGCCCGGCGATGCTCGCCGAGTGAGTGAAGGAATGAGAGATCTAGAAGACTGAGGGCACTTGCCCCAGGGCACCCAGCGTCCTGTCCTGGCCTAACCCACAGTGGGGATGGGCTGCCCGGCCCTCTCTGCCTCCTGTGCCCTCACGGCCCTTCCTGTCTCTCTCCCCCAGGACCTCCCACTCCCGGGCCAAGGCCGAGGCAGCCCTCACTGCGGCGCAGAAGGCCCAGGAGGAAGCACGGATCGCCAGGATCACTGCCAAAGAGTTCTCCCCTTCCTTCCAGCACAGGGAAAACGGTGAGCCGGGCACCGGGCGGAAGGGGCAGGGTGTCCTCCACGCCCACATTCCAGCAGGTGCTGCCCGCTGCCATCTCCCCTCGCGTTCTCTCCTTTCACGATGATGGGCGTCCCTGTGAGGGGCCTTGGCACACTCCTCCCTCACACATGTCTCCCTGCCTCCAGGGCCGTGGCCCTGTGTGCACGTGTTTCCATGCATCACCCTCCCGCTTTCCATGAGGGCGAATGTCTGTGTGCTCTGCCTGTGCATGTGGCCTCTCCCTGCCCTTCCCCCAAGGCTATGCTAGAACTTTCTGTGACAAACCAACTATTTTATAAGTGCTCCATTCAGAAAGGTAGCTGCTGGCCATGTGGGGACTGCAGCTAGCTGGCTGAGGCCCTGGTCACTAGTTTTATTTGATCAGAACAGATCTGCATGTAACTGCAGACAGCCACGCGTGCCTCCTGGCGGCCACACTGGGCAGAGTGCTCATCAACGAGGGGAGCTCCCGCCATGTCCTTTGGTGGGAGCTGGAGGAGCTAGAAGCCACTGCAGGTTGCAGATCTGCGACCCTCGTCCTGTCTGGGGACCGGGCCTGAGGGAGGCAGAGGGCTGGAGAAGGCGGGCATTGATGAGAGGGGGACAGCCACCTGTCTCGCTCCCTTCCCTCTGGCCTCTCTCTGAAGCGTCCTCTGCGGCAGGAAGTCCTGGAGGACAGGTTTCACCACTGCCCACTGGCCCGCTCCCGAGTGGAGACAGAAGCCGCTGGAGGTTTTAGGCTGACATCCGCCACGCGCAGTCCACCCTGAGAGCACACCGAGCTGTCCTGGAGCCGGAGCTCCTGGCCTCCTTGGGAGGGTCCCGGCCTTGGGGCGGCTGAGGGAGGCCGCCCGCCCGCTGCTGGGAGACAGGAGGACCCAAGATAAGGGACAAAGGTGTTGGAATTCAGCCACACATGTTCTGCTTTGCATTTTCACAAGGATGCTTCCAGGAATGTCACGCGCTCTGCAACTAATTTTAGCTGAGCACCGTCTCCAGGCTGGTGCTGATAGTCAGGGCGCTGGAGCTGAGCGTGAGAGCGCCACTCTGGCGTGGGGTTCACGGGACCCTGTAGGGTCAGTGTCCAGGCTGTCTGGGACCCTAGAGTGTAAGGCACAGGGGCTTAGGCCCCAGAAAGTCCAGATCACAGTCGGACAGGTCAAGGGAGGGATCAGGGGAGTCCTGTGATGGGGCCAGGGCTCCCCAACCCAGAGCCATAGGACCCCCACAGGGAGGGCAGTTCTCCACGTGCTCCCTCAGATACCCCCTGGCCTGTCACCCGTGCCGCAGAGATGTGGTAGTTGAATGGATCTGGACTCCCTGGCTGCCCCCCATGTGACAAATGGGTGCAGATGCAGGGGGGCTGACTGCTTGCCCCTAGTCCCAGTACCTATCGCTAGCACATCCAGGACCACATGGGACTCCCCTTGGGGCCTTCACCCTTTGAAATGCCCCAGGGACTGTTCATGGGCGTTTACGACTCTGCCTTATTCTGGTCACTGTCTCAGGCCCCCATGCATGCCACTAACAGCATGGTGAATGCCTCTTCATAATTGGGGGGGCCGGCCCCTGCTGAGAATTCCGGCCACACTGAGGGGGCCGTGTCCCCTAAGGCCTTCTCCTGCCCTGGTTCAGAGGCTCCAGTATGGAAGCAGGGAGGGGAGCCCAGGCAGGGGTGGGGCAGGAAGAACAGGCCACCAGAGGGGTCAGTGTCCTGGGCGGACAGGCCCCCTCGAAGGCCACCTAGCAGGAGATGCTTCCTTTCATCCTCAGGAGGGCCCCATGGGGGGCGGGACCTGAGACCCCCAGAGTAGGCAGGGCCCCGGTGCATGCACACTGAGCCCTGGTCTGCCCTGCCGCGGGGCTGGGGCCAGAGCTGCTGCCCACCACTGCCTGTCGTGACCTGGTCATCCTCAAAGCACCTGTGGGCGGAGGCTTGGGGTCCATGGAGGGGCCTTGGGAACCAGTGTGTCCAGGCTGTCCTGCCATCCTCGGGCGAGACCAGGCCTCCCCCCGCACATGGCCGAGTGACCGGCCTCTGTGTGCTGCCCGCGCCTCCGTACAGGGCTCGAGTACCAGCGGCCGAAGCGCCAGGCTTCCAGCGACGACATCGAGGTGATCTCCATGGGGACGCCCATGCAGCAGGAGAGCCCGGAGCTGTACCGCAAGGGCACCACCCCCTCGGACCTGACGCCCGACGACAGCCCCCTGCAGAGCTTCCCCGCCAGCCCCTCGGCCACCCCCCCGCCGGCCCCCGCCTCCAGGAACAAGGTCGCCCACTTCTCGCGACAGGTGTCGGTGGACGAGGAGCGGGGCGGGGACATCCAGATGCTCCTGGAGGGCAGAGGGGGGGACTACGGCCGCCACAGCTGGGGTGAGGAGAAGGCGGGGGCTTCCAGGGGCATCCGCAGCGGGACCCTCCGCAGCGGCCCGCCCTCGGAGGACTTCCGCACCCGGGGGGGCTCGGGCCACAAGCAGCCCGGTAACCCCAAGTCCCGGGAGCGGCGGACGGAGTCGCCCCCTGCCTTCTGGACTTCCCACCCTCGGGCCAGCAACCCCAGCTCAGGGGGCGCCAAGCTGCTGGAGCTGGACGAGGAGAAGCTGAGCAACTACGAGATGGAAATGAAGCCCCTGCTGAGGGTGGACTCCCACGGGCAGGAGGCGTACCCCCAGAAGAGACGCTACAGCAGGGGGGCTGCCTCCCGGGGCCTGGGCGAGGACCGGGGCTTTGGGGCGCAGAGACTGAGATCCAAGTCCCAGAACAAGGAGAACGTCCGGCCGGCCGCGGGCGCGGAGCCCGCGGTGCAGAGACTGGAGAGCCTGCGGCTGGGCGACAGGGCCGAGCCGCGGCTGCTGCGCTGGGACCTGACCTACTCCCCGCCCCAGAAGTCCTCGCCCGTGGCCCGGGAATCGGACGAGGAGAACGGGGACGAGCTCAAGTCCAGCACGGTGAGTGGGCGCCCATAGGGAGGGAGAGCCCAAGTCCGTCCCCCGCCCGGAGCCTTCCGTGGAGTCCGCCTCTAGCTGAGTGGGCGGGGTGGGGGTCAGCGCGGCCCCCTAGGGGGATGGCTGGCCTTTGCTTCCGCAGGACTGGGGCCCTCCCTCCCAGGAGAGCCAACGCAGGGCTGGGCAGCATTTCCTTCAGAGACTTGGGAGGTTAGTCACAGGCTTCGTCCTTTCAGTGAAAGTGCTTGGGCAGCTTTGGAAGCTCCCACAAAGAAAATGGGCAGCAGGGGATCCCAGCCTCGCCCAGACCTTCCCCAATTTCCTACAACTTTCCTGAGCTGTAAGTGTCTCTTGTAAGCCCTCACCACTGTCCACGAGGTACCCCTCTCCAGGAGACACACAGAGGGCCAGACGCAGAGCAGGGGGCGTGGGCTGGGTCAGGTCCTTTGTCCAGGCCACACCGCTGACCGGCGGGTCAGGAACTGTGGTCTCATCTGCCGGGACACACGTGCCCTGCTCCAAAGCCCACTTCCTAATGGTGAGCCAGACAGTTCCGTGAGGCTGTCTGCCCCACAGCCCTTCCTATAAACCCGCGGTTCAGAGTATGGCACCGCAGGGCCCTCGGGGAGTTTGTTAGAATGAGGCTCTGGCCTGTGGGGTCAGTGGCTCTGATGGGGCTGTGATCCAGGTTGATCAGGCCCCGTGGGGACTGTGCTGCTCGGGAGTGAGGACCGTGTGTCTCAGTGCGAAACCCACCTAGAAACACTACTCCTGAGGCGATGGGTTAGAGGAAAGAACGGGCACCCTGGGCAGGACCGTCAGGGGCTGGGGGGAGCTCTTGCACCCAGAGGTACCTCCTGGGACCCTTTGTCAGGCAGCTCCAGCCTAAAAGGACACCTTGGTCCCTTGGCGCAGTGGCAGCAGAAAGGGCCACTGGAACACACGTCAGACCTACACCCCAGGCTGATGCCTGTGTGGCCCCACACGATCCTGCTTGGACCAGTGTCAGCCTACGGGCCTCCCGCACTTGCTGATGGGCGCCGCGTGCCACAGCCCCACGTGTCCAAGAGGAACGCTGGGGGCCTGCTCGTGGGCATGCAGAGCTGACACCTGCACTCCATCCAGACTGGTCCCCGGGACTCGGTGCCGCTGCAGGGCAGAGGCAGGGTCTGCCCGTCCCCAAGGAGTCCCGTTCCTCATCTGGATGTTGTCCCTTTGGGAGAGAAGCTTCCTATCAGCAGACAGGCTGCTGGCCCTCCAGGTCACTTCTGCTTCCCCTTGAAACCCCTGTGAGCATGTCCTCTTGCTGGTGGGCTGGTTCCTAAAATGCTTCTGTCTTCCCCGCCCAATCCCCTCTCGACCCCCCTGGAGAGCAGCCCCCGGGGCCTAAGTGCCAGCTGCCACAACTCCGCTTTCCTCATTCTGGCAGCTGGAAACCTGTGTGCACGTGCAGCTGCACGTATGTGCGACTGGACGAGGAGGGGACAGGGACATCCAGATGCTCCTGGAGGGCAGAGCGGGGGGAACCACGGCCGCCACAGCTGGGGCAAGACGGCAGGGCGTTCTAGGGGCCCTGACATGTGCCACCATGTGCACCTGTGTGCAGATGTGGTTATTTTGGGACAGCCGGATGATGGGCAGGGTGGAGACGCAGGACGGGTTCCGTGGCTATCCCACTTACCCCGCTGGCCAATCAGGCTGCTTAAAATGGAGCTCCCTTGGGAAGAGGTGCAGGCTCCCAGCTGGACTCTGGTACTTCCTGTGCCAGACCAGTGCTTGGTCCTGAGGGGCAGCTGGGGACACCGGGACAGAGGAGTGGAGGGGAGCCCCAGCACAGGCCCCAGGTGCTGGCCCTAACCCTGTCCAGGGGGCAGGCCCTGCGCCCATCCCTGAGGCTTCACGAGGACAAGCCCAGAGAGCCTGGGTTCCAGGAGCCCAGGCGATGCGGTCTCCGCCCTGAGGCACTGGGCGCCAGGAAAGGCGGGAGAGGACAAGCGCTCCTTCCTGCTGGCCAGGGAGGCGGGCTGCCAGGGAAGGTGGTTAGCAGAGCTGGAGCCGCTTCCGGGAAGGTGGTTTCTACCGAGGGAGGTGTGTTCAGAGGCCTATTGGAGATTCTCCCATTGGCGGTTTGGGGATCCCAGGCTGAATAGAGGGGCCGCTCTGGGTGGGCTGCAGATGAAATCCAGTGGCAGTGTCTGAGTCCCAGCTGTGCAGAGCCGGGTGTGGGGTGTGTACTTACGGGGAGACCCAGGGCACCTGGGGGGCGGGCAGCCGCCAGAGTGCTCCAGTTCCCAGGGCGGTGACTGCAGACCGGGGGGCACTGCAGCCTCTTCCCCAGGCCTGACTCCTGAAGGGCTTCCTGCTCTGAAGAGATGGACGTTTGGTTCCAACCTCCTATTCTGGACTGGGGCTGCGGGGTGTGCATGGCCGGAGAGAGAACATTGCAGACCAGGCTCATCCCTCTCTCTCCTTCTGTTCCAGGGCTCGGCTCCCATCCTGGTAGCCATGGTGATCTTGCTAAACATCGGAGTCGCCATTTTGTTTATTAACTTTTTCATCTGATGAAATTGTCACATTAGCAAAAATACCAGTTGGTGTACAAAAGGGGGACGTTAAAAGCAAAAGAACAAAAAGAAAAGGATCATAACTCGGACAGCCCACAGCCACTTCCGAGTCTCTTCACAGAACAACACGATTGGGTATTACTCACAGTTTGCCTTTTTTTCTGGGTAATGTTTTTTGGATTTTAGCCAAAATTCTTTGCTTGTATAACACTATGCTGTGTGGCATGGCAGAAGGAGGCCAGCACGCCGATCCTCCAGCTTGAAGTGGAAAGAAAAGGGATCCCAGCAAATCAGCAGCAAAAAAAATAAAATAAAATAAAATCGCCACCATTGTCATCACACTCCCTCCTGGGATGTGGGGAAGGAGGCAGCCGAGGAAGACCCCTCCGAGTGGCCAGCTGTGCCCGCGGGGGGAGCAGCGGTTGGGAGGCGTGACCGGCTCACTCTGCTTCTCCTCCCTGTCCCGGAACAGCGGGGACAAGTGTGGTGTGAGCGCAGGGAAGAGGGTGTCCCATCCTGGCTGGCAGCAGCCTGGGCTTTTTCTGTTTTAAATCTGTGCTGCAGAGGTCTGTCTTCTCGTCTCTTCCCAAAAAAAACAGATCCCTTGTCTCGGCACTGCCCCACGGCTTCCCTTGCAAGGCCAAGTCCTACACCGAGTCTTACAGCAAAGTCCTCGTTTCCCTGCTGTCCTTCTCTACTCCCCACCCTCCCACCAGGCCCAGGGGAGCCTTGCTGCGGACGCCAGGAGCCTGCAGAGGCGCGGGGCTGGTGCCGGAAGGCAGGGAGCAGTGCGGCCCTGGCCATCACGCCTGGGCTGCAGCTGGGCCTTCCTGTACTCACTGTGCAGGACAGGTACCCAGGCTCCCACGTCCCTTCAGACTCCGCAGCCCTTACATGACACCCTCTTCTCCCACGTCACTGAGCCCACGAGTTTCATTTTGTCCTGTGCCTGCAACTTCCCCCTCAGACATGCCTCTTCTTCCCAGATGCCTCATTCAGTCTCCGGAGCTGCTCTAGTCCCAGGACAGAATGTGGTTGAAACCAAGTGGCTTAAAAATTCCTGAGAAATCGTTGCATATCCATCTCCCCCAAAATGTGACACAACTTTCAGCCACACACACACAGACTCCTGGTGTTTCTGCCTTCTCCAGAATGCTTGAGTGCTCTATGGTCCTAGCTCGAGCCAGCCCGGCCAGCAGGTATGGACGTGTCTGTGGGGCCACGGGCACGTCCATACCCAGGTCCCCTGCGCTCACAACTGGGAAGGTCCTTACAGTGAGTTCCCACAGTCGTCCTGGGTACAGCCCGCCTATGACTTTGCCTTGCTTTGCTTATGTTTAGCTGTTTCTCTGCTACCTTTCAAGCAGATTTCTTTACTACACTGCACTGGATTGCTATATTTTTAACCAGAAATAAACTAAAGATTAGAGCATGTTCCAGTTAAATTCAGTTTTATTTTTTTTCTGTTATAGATTCAATCCCCGTTCCTTCTCACATTTTGGTTTAGGTTGGGGTCTTTTTTGGGGGAGTGGAGACATGGGAAAGGGAGGGAGGATCCGTAGGAAATACATTTCTGATAATGTTGCTTTCTAAAGGGATATTACATCTTTTTGTACATCTTATTTTCCGTTCCTCTTTTTTAATATCAAGTGGTTGCTGCAGACCTGAAGTGAACCAAATAAAGATGCCTGCTCCTTGCAGCTCTAAGAACCATCATGCTGGGATATGTGGTTTATAATTCTGTTTGCAACTCTTTGTCAAGATTACAGATTTTTTTTGTACATTCCAGTAACTGCATGACAAAAATGGTACCTACAAACGCAGGTTTATATATTTACATGCAAACACCACGAGGTTGTTAGATGCATAAAAGCAGCAGCATAGAAGCGCACATCACTCAACAGAAGCAGTAGTGGTTTCATGACTAGATGTCTCCATCACTAGTCCAGCTGCCAGTCACACACTTGTGAAAACCAAATCAACACCTCTCCCTACCCCACCCCACCACCACCCCGACCACCCCCACCACGCCCCTGCACCTGCAGAGGGCAGAGCATGCAGAGTGAATTCCAAGTAGATTCCACCAAGACCAAAACACTGGGTTGGAGAGACCAGAAAGCTTTTTTAAAATTGTTCCAGTGTGATTCAAGACCAGGCTGCCTTGCAGCATGCCTGCAGATAGGCCGAATGCTCTGCCTACCTGCCCAGAGCCTCAAGTTTGCCCGATGGTGCACCAGTCACCTAACTCCAGGCCAAGTCAGTTGACCTGCTTCTCTCATGCACGATCCTCGTGGATGTGTGTGCTGAATTCAACAAGGAACCATGGGGCTGTGGGGAAAACAGACATGTGTCAAGGCTGTCCCCACTGGTGCAGAGCACTGACAAGTTTTATTTCCAGAGCAACCTTGTAAGCCAGTTCTCCTGACATGCTCTGGATGTGAAAACCTGGGACAGAGAAATGGAGTTACCTGAGATGCTAGGCTGGGTCATGGGAGAAGGGGTCCCCACCCTGTTCCCACCTCTCCTCACCCGCCCAAGGCTGGGAGCCGGAACTCGCACCTTACCCTAAAGTCACCAGGCAACATGTCTGTGCCGATGGCTCACCGGTTCGTTTGTGCTTGTAAGTTTGCTTCATGTCTGTACAATACCTGGATGATTTCAGACCCCTGAAAAACCCCTTCGTCCATCCTTTTGAATTCTAAGGTTTGTAATCATTAGCACACAGATTCCCCAAAGACAGACATGAGGTTGCAGTACATAAGCCAAAATAACCAGAAAGATGAGGCTGATACAGAAAAAAATCAGTGCAGCCACAGAAATGCAAAGCCCACTGCCTAAGTCATTCGAGAGGGAGGAGAGTCATGAAAATGCAAGGACTCTCTGACTCGCTTTCCTAGGAAGTCCACATCCAACGATCAATATTCTCCGGTCTTTGTTGAGATGTCATGGTGCATGGCGTGAACCAATACTCTCGTGGTGGGATGACGGGCTCTTTCCAACATGCACTAAACCCAAGAGAAGAGGAAGTCTCACCAGTGCAGACTCCCCTTGGGGCCTGTTGGGCACTCTGATGGAGCAGCCCCATGTCCTGGCTAACACCTGGCACCCCAGTCTTGTCATCAGGGTGCTCTCATTCCCTTTCAGTAAGTCATGTGCCGCCGTCCCCCCACCCTCCCAACAAAACAAAGGGCGCTCCCAAGAGCTGGTGGAGGTGTTCAGAGCCACAAGACACTGAGGACTTGTTCAAGAGGAGTATTTGGGGGAGTGAATCAAATAGTGGTCCCATTTTTTGCTATTTTTGTTAGTTTGGGTTTCTGATTTTTTTTTCTTTAATAAAGCAAAGTATTATTATTTTTTATTGATTTGTCACAGAGAGGAAGAGAGAGCGATAGAGAGTTAGAAACATCAATGAGAGAGAATCATTAATCAGCTGCCTCTTGCACACCCCCTACTGGGGATGTGCCCACAACCAAGGTACATGCCCTTGACCGGAATCGAACCCGGGACTTTTCAGTCCACAGGCCGACGCTCTATCCACTGAGCCAAACCGGTTTCAGCAGGTTTCTGATTCTTTAAAAACACCCAAGTGTCTACAATCACCACCAGTATTTTCTCTCTGGGCAGGGTTTTCCTGTAAGGCAGTTCTCACCTGTACCCAAGCACGGAGGAGGGCCTGAGAGGCCCAGTGGGTGCTCCCAGGGATGCCCCCAGTGGTCTCCTCCAGGGGCACTTGCTTATTTCATCTTCACATACACAATAAGACACTTTCACACGAAAGGTGGAAGATGCAAACCTTTTCTACAGGAAGCTCAGTTTAACTTTTATAGGTCTTGTCTTCCAATTTTTTTCTTGCCTTTGATCCTAGAAAGTTACCATGAAGGTGCCTACTAGGTTTTAAGACATCGATTTCCACAGCTGAATGTACTGCCTGACCCTCACAATCAAACAACAGTATTGAGTATCGCTGACAAACAGCTCAATGTCATGATAATGGGAACACCAGTCATGTTTAATCTTGCCTCGGACAAGCGTTGACTCCCAGTTAAGCATAAAAGTGAAGTAACAGGATCAAGAGAAAGAAGGTATGAGGGTGAAGCTCTGTCTGTAAACGTAAGGTGTCTGGCTAGTTTTGTTCTCTGGCCAGGGTTGGCCACCAGTAAGGAAACACTAGAGAAACGGCCTGTCCTGAGGGTCCCTAACTCAGCCTTAAAAAGTGCAGTTGCCTTTGATTGAAAATAAAAAAGCTGTATTTGTACAGTGTATCCATGTGAACTACCGACTCTATGAGATGTCTGACAACTATGGAAGCACAAAGGTTTAGTCACTGAAACATGCGAGGGTTGGCGCTGGCTCAGGGAGGCACGGGAGGAGGTGCTGGCACGGAGCGCCCAGTGCAGAAGGGAACCATAGTGAGGCGTGGTGCCAGAACGGGGGACCACCCCTGGGGGAGATGGAAGCAATGCTCTGAAAGATGGCTAACTGATCCCCACAACTCACAGAACAAACGCTGTTTGTGGAGTTTGCTCCTATATGAAATCCCAACGTGGAAGTGCCTGAGACAAATGTGTAAACGTGCTCCTGAACCTCAGAGAAGCAGGCAGCCACCAGGGGCAGAGCAAGGTGTGGACGTGAGCTTGCCGCAGGAAGTCGGGTGCAGTGAGCCTGGGTCTGGAGTTTGGGGGGATGGCGAGCTGGGCTGGGGGAGAGCGGCAGACCTCACATACCTACCTCACTTGGCTGCCCCACCACACCTCTGCCTGATACACACAGCTCACTGTACGCCGCCGCCACGGGGCCAGGCCCCAGGCTTCCCAGGCCTGCCGCCACATGAGTGCACACCCTCTCCTGCTGCCCTCCGTTAGGTCTGTGCCATGGATGCAGGGCTCCAGCTGTGCTGCCACTGCTTGGTGATGTGGAGACAGCAGCAACCCAAACCCATGAAGGCAGAAGGCCCCAAGGAACGGTGGAGACTGGTGTTGGCTGGATCCCTGGGCCCTT